AGACCTTGAGAAGCACTTTTTTCCTGCCAAAGATATTCAGCAGTTGCTGGGGACAAGCCGCGACAGAGATGGTGCAAGTTGGCGACCCCCTCATTTGTTTTCATACCTTTCAAACGACGACTATAATAGAGTCTACGACACCCTCAAGAGAAGTCCGCCACATCTACACGACTTTCTCGACATCGGCCATCTTGCTTCAGGTCCCGGCAGAGTGTGCAAGTTTCTTCTGCACCATATAACGAAGTGGGTGCATCGACAGTACAAAAAACCCGGCAATGCCGATGCAGCAAGGCGGTACGAACAGTGGTCGATTTTCCTCAGCGCACAGATCCGACCAGATATCGAGAGTACGACCTGGCTGGGATGTCAATTAAACCCGGTCAATGCGTTTATTGTGCGACTCTTTGAGCTTGTGCGGGATAATCCAATCTGGCTGGAAAAGGCGTTGACCGAAACCTACGTAAGTGCCTGCCAATCATGTCCACCGGTACTCCCGGTAACGCTTGACACAGGAGGAGTTGCCAGAGGCATACGAAAAAGGGGGCGATCAGGAACGCAACGTTTCGATGTATCGTAAAAGGTTTGACCTAGAAGTATGGGTTGACGTTCTCAGACTCGTAGAAGAGTATTTCTGCGACGGAGCAATCACGAATCCACTCATGGCCGGTATATCTGTCGAGGTACGTAACCCAAGTCACAGCACAGAAGGATGATCGGGGCAACATCCTGACTATGTTGCAGGGACTCAAATCAAAGCCGTGGACCATCTGGGGTCCAAAGATCCGCGAGACGATGATGTCTCTGAACCCAGAGTTGAAAAATTTGAACTTTCTGCATTCGGACTCGAACGTCGCTGACCTGGAAAATTGGGGGGCTATCTTTGGGGCAAGATGGTCATACTTTGTGCTCCGCAAAGCCCTCCGCCGCGACGACCCCGTCACGTTCACGCCAAAGAAGCGTAAGCGGGCTGCCATCATCGAAGAAGAGCCCTTGAACGAAGTAAGTAAATATTAAACCATGGTTTGATAATCTCGTTCATTATTGACGGCATCATAGGAAGAGAAGACCGTCTGCCGCACTTGGCTTCGGAACTATGCGACATATCTGAACGCCTACGGATACGATCTCGACCCAGAGGACGACGCGGAAGATGTTTCGTCCCTCCGGCTGGATGGGATGGTTCGGAAGACAACCTCAAACGCACTCGAACGAGCAAGCCGCAACGTCCTGGGACAACAACAAGGTATCAAATGAGTGTGTGTGCTGCGGGTACGACATAGGGTTCGCTGACAAAGGTTATAGGCGCCAATGATCAAGAGCTACCTCAAAGAACGCCGGGTTCTCGACGAACTGCCCACGGTATGCTTGCTTCTTCGTGGTTTTTGTCGGCGCCTCAACTGGGCCTTCACTAACTTTGAACAGATCGCACGAGAAATCGTATCTCGGAGCGGGAGATCGCGAATCTAGGAATTGGTCCCCAATAAAACATTCAGCTCGCTCAACCAAAATTGATAGATATAGGTAGCAGAGAGCAGATTGCCCAGCCCTAGATAGCTCCAGAATGTTGATCAAGTTACCCTCGGACAAGTGCTTAGCTAATTTCAGGTGGTGAAAATCAAACCGTTGTTTAATTTGTCTAGCCGAGCAACCCAACTCCCACGTTCCAAATCTCATCCCACCGAGTTCCCATGGAGAGTGTGCAAAACGAAACAGGCTCCTTAGCACTTCAAAAGAGCAATCTCATTCGCGATGATTCTGTCCAAGAGCAGATTGCAGGTGCGTACCTAGGAACTTTGGCAGTTAACATCCAACACCTCAACGCCGACTGGGGCTCGATCTCGACCGCCAACCGCCCTCTGCGGTCGAATCAAGCCAAGGCTCTGGCGGACCAATTTCTCAACGCGCGTCTTCAGAAGGAACCCCTCGAGAATCGGATCATTGGTGGCTGCGATTTAACGGCCTGGAATGAGCTGTTGAACCGGGCACAGTTGGATAAGCCAGCTGAACGGGAAGCAATGAAAAATGCCAGACATCGATATCATCCAACCTTGGCCATGTTTCCCTCTGTGCCCGACATCCGGGATTTGAGCCTACTGCTATTCGCTGGCCAACATCGTCAAGCCGCCATTCGTCATGTCCTCTGCGTACATTCAGATAATTTTACTGGAGACGAGAAAGACGCAGTAAGCTTCTACAATCAAACCATGGTTTAAATGGCAACTCATCTTTATCATAGTTTGTCACGATTCCGATGTGGCCCTGCGACTTCTACGACGTGGGACGCCTCGACCACTCTGCAATGCTACGACTACAGGAGAACCGGCGTCCGATGATACTCCCTGAAAGCGATGGCGACCTCTGGGCAAGATTGTCTGCTCTCTTAGAACCAATGTCGGATGGCGAACGAGATAGCATCATGAAATCGAAAACGTCTTTCCAAACGTGGGCATCACAGGTGTCGCGCATCGATGGCAAGGATGCACAGCGATTCATCACCTTACTTCGGCATCCTTTGAAGGACCTTCTGGATCGGATCTGTGCGACACCGTGGGGCCGGGAGACCGCTAAGATTTCTGCCTTTGATCGTATGGCTCGGACGCGCTTGGATCAGGTCTGCCGCAGGCAAAAAAACGATTCTGGGAGCGGATTTGCTAACGGTGCTATGCAGGTGTGGCGAAAGCTGTTCCACAAAACCTTTGAAGGCATGAGGGACCTCCTGGGAAACGAGCACAGCGCGAAATACACTCGACAGGATGTGGAGATCGTGCGTCGGATCGCGGAACAAGATTATGTGACGGAGCTATACGTGGCAAGGCTGTTCTATCCGACGGAGCGAGAGGTGCGATCGAAATCAGACCTTGTAAAACTGGATGATGCTGTCCGGCTCGCAGGGAATGACCATCTCTACCGTCGCTACCAGCTCTTCTCGTATCTGTCGGAGCAGGAGTATCATACGCTGTTCATGACTGTTCTGAAGAGAACTCCAGAGGTCCACACCTTCTCCGAGCTGGCCGCGTTGGCCAACGGGGAGATGACCATCGCCAGCCATGTCATCGAGCACATTGTTCACTGGCTCAATCCGACGTACACAAAGCCCGCCAACGCGAGCAAAGAGCGGCGAAATGAACAATGGGTGGACGTGCTAACGCGGGAGCTGGAACCGGGCACGCCTCCGGCCGAGGGCCAGGAGGACACTGGGGGCCACCGAGCTCGCGGTTTAGTCGATCATCTGATCGAGATGATCACTGGGGAACGTCGTGTAGGATGGCAAGAGAAGGCTCTCGCCTCGACCTACGTACTGAGTTTACCCATCACCATCAGGGGACGAGGCAATGCACTAACGGCCACAGACTCCGCCACCATCCGAATGGACAGAGATGAAGCCTCGAGAAGCCGCTATCGCCAAATACCAGAAGCGCTTCGAGCACGAAACATGGTGTGACGTACTGCAGTTGGTGAAAGACAACGTACCGTCCGCACACCTGCGGTCATTTCTCCTAGATGGTCTCATCGAGCAGGTAAGGAATCATCTCGTGGTACAGCGGGAAGGGCTCACTCTGTCAGGATCCCAAATCGAAGCCGTGGACGAGCTGGGCTACCAAGACCCGCGCCGTGATGTGGAGGTCACTCCAAGACTCCAATGCCATGCATCTAGTGTCTCCGCGGGTGGAGCGAAAGATCATGGAGCACGAAAGTGCTATATTCTGCACCAGGCTCATGTACAGTGCTATCAAGAGACGACTGCAGCGGCAGAGCGAGCGGGATCTAGAGCCACCGTCAAGAAGAACCCGTGCACGCGAGGAGAGAATGACAATGGTACGTCCAAATCAAACCATGGTTGGATTCCGAGCTAATCCGCGAGAAGGACGAGGTGAACAATGCCCGTCATACTCTCCGCCAGTATGCTGAATTCCTCCAATCGAAAGGCTATAATCTCAACGCCGACGATGACCAAGAGGACGTGTCCTGGCTGAGTTTGGAACTTTGTGAGAGTGACAGGGCAGACGCTGGAGCCTCGCGGAAGCGTCGAAGATTGCCAGCACCAAGTTCGTCATTCTGACCCATCTCTCTCGACAAAGGAGTCGCTAACTCACCACCGCGCCAGCAATTCCCCACGATCAGAGCCAGCACCCTGAAGGGAGCACTCCCGCGCAGACGAGCATCGCCGACCAGCCGATACACGATGAAGCCTCCAGGATGTGACTCGCCATGAATAGATTGTGGTCTCGTAGACGCACGTGACAAAACGGTCATGAGATCACGTGACTCCTCGCTGCCCTGATCCTTTTCGCCGTCTTTTCGTCCTCGTGGGCCAGACAGCAAGCGTACTTCAAGGATCAATGAATGTTTGAGCAAGCGCGTTTGCATCCGCATGCAGCATTCTGCTAAGTTTGTATCATCTAGAAATTTCTTTCAGGCTTTCTTTGAGCACCGCTTAGACCATCTTAGTGGTTCAAGCCAGGCGTGCAGCCTAATAGTAATTCTTTGTTTGAATAACGCCAGAATTCATCCTTTATCATGCCCGAAACGGCATCCAAGTGTGTTAGCAATCAACTACGAGGAAAACACGGCTTAAATAGCTGCTGACCCGCCCTGTAGATGCGCCACTGTGATACCCACATGCCCTTTTGCCCATCTTGAGAGCCATGTCTCGCCAACGCAGAGCAGAAAACTCGTCATCCAGCTCGTCCGAGAGTGATCGTAGCGATTCTTCCCAGCTGCATCTCCAGGCGGATGAGTCTGCGGATGAAGAGATTTTGCAGGCATATCTTGGGACAGTTGCTGTCCCTGTAGAAGAGTTAAACACCTCCTGGGTCCACTCCACACATGGAAACCGGCCGCTTGATGCGCACCACGTGCAACATCTTCAACGCGTCTTCGCCGAGACCGGCATACACAAAACACCCATTGAAAATCGAATGCTTGCCGGCATTTCACTTTCCCATTGGAAGGAGATGGTTCGGGCCCTTCTCGACGAAGGAGAGCATTTGAAGGAGGCCTTAAGAAGGGCCGCGGCGGGAGACTGGCGCATTCGGGGCCGCTTCTCAGAATTTCGACAATTAGAAACACTCGGCGGGGGCCGATCACCCGTCCTCTACGCTGGTCAGCACCGACGTGCAGCCGTACTCGCACTTCGAGAGCAAATCGCGAGTCCGGATGAATCGGTTCGTCATCATTCAAACCGTGGTTTGATTTCTATACACTGACATACGTTAGCTCACTGCCTGGCCTGTTGACTTTTTCAACGAGGCAAAGCTCAGCGCGCTGGGCAGAGCACGTCTACAAGAAAACCGAAAGCCGACGATCTTAGTTGACACCGACGGTGACCTCTGGGCCAAGCTTACGACCCTGCTGGATGACGAGTCTGCCGCCAAGCGAAAGACCATTTTCAAATCAAAGAGCGCGTTTGAGCAATGGGGGCGCCGAGTCAGCAAGCTCTCTGCGTCCGAGGCACAGCGATGGTACACACTCTTCCGGCATCCTCTGAAGAACGTCATTGACCGTTTCTGTCAGACGGCGTGGGGCCGGAAGACCATGACTGTCGGTGCATTTGACAGCGCCATCAAGTCGCGGATGCACGACGTAAGTTTCCGTGATCGCCTTTGACACACGAAGCTTACCATTCCTGCAGCGATTTCGCGGCATACTAACGGCACAGCTGGACGCCCTTCAATCAGCCCTCGATCAAAAGTTCCCCTCCATCCAAGCCTCGGAGGTCAATGCATTGGCCCGATTGAGCCAGCCTTTCACGCGGACCGAGCTCACGAACTTGTTCTTTCCACCTGGAACAGCCGGCAAGAATCAAACACGCCGGGTGGCTCTTCAGGAAGCTGTCTTTATCCGGGGAAAGGAGCACTCGAGCCGACGCGCGGGCTTTTTCACCTACCTGGACGATATGGAGTACTTTACCGTGTATCAGTACTTTGTCCACAATCCTGACGTCAGCATCATCAGCTACGCTCAATTTGCAAGTCTGACACACAAAGTTGGGGTGACTGCAGGGTACATCCTACACCACGTGGTGACGTGGATCAATCCCCGGTACGAAAAGCCTGGAAATGCATCCAAAGACCGGAGAAATGAAACGTGGAAAGAGGCCATCCATAGGTCGCTCGATGCCTACTCGCGACAGCATCCCAATTGGACCCGGTCGGACAACGACAGTCGTGCTGATGATCTGGAGAATCAGATCTACATGCTGATTTACCGAAGCTCTAAACACTGGAACGACTCCGCTGTCAAGCCCACCTACGTAAGGTTTCCTGCACCAGGTGTCTGGACCATTGCTGACCAGAACAGACCACCACTCCGGACCAGGTGCAAGCACTCCTCGACCAAGGCAAAATGAGTGCTGCCGACTACCGGAAGAGGTTTGACCTCGGGATCTGGAACGAGCTGAGGAGCCGGGTGCAACACCACCTTGGAACCGATCCCTTTCACTGGGAAGTGATGGCATTCTTCAATTATCACGCCGAGGAGGAAGAGACGGTAGGTTCCCCTGCCCCTCCAGGGGTCTTCACCTCCTAACACGCAATAGCCCTACGAGACACTTCCATGGACCACTTGGGGACGAAAGATTCAGGAAAGCATGTGGGCGTCCAACTGGGAACTTCAAGGATTGCCATTTCTTCGGACAGAACAGCTTCAAGCCGATCTTGTGCTACAAGGTGCCCTTTTTGGTGCGAAGTGGACCTATCGGGCACTCCGGCAGCGTTTGCTTGCGGAGCCGTCGGAGCCGGTGGTTTTGAGCCGGCAGAAGCAGCGGGAGCAGATGACCGAGGTAAGACCGCCACACCTGACGCTACATCTATCCCACTGACTGCCGAGCAGGACATGCGACAGGCCGCGAGAAGAGCGTTGCGGAGCTATGCCGCGTTCCTCAACCAACACGGGTATGACCTGAACCCCGAGAATGACCTTGAAGGAACTGAAACCCTTGATGAACGACCACTCAACCGGGCCGCACCGCCCGAGACACGAAGCGGAGCGAGGAGAATTCAACCCGAAAATTTTGTGATGGAACTGCCTCATCCGAAGGTCGAACTGCCCGTGGTGAGGAGACGGTCAAGGAAGCGGCGAGCCTCCACCAGCGAGAGCAGCCAGGAACCCGAGCCCAGGAATGACAGCAGCAGTACTGAAAGTGATCTATCATCTGTACCTACTGATTTTGAATAAGATGTACAACCCTAAGAGAAACGAACCAAAATCCTTTCAGCACCTGACACCTTGTCTTTCCTGAAAAAAAAGTAAACAACATGATTACTAATAATATGATTTGCTCTTAAACAAACATTTGACGTAGATTGGCTTGATAGCTATCTTGCTCTCCCATCAATCAAACCATGGTTTGATTTATCAATGCTCAAAAATTCTTTCACTCTCTGACTAAAGTTGATTGTATTGTACTTTCAGATCTAGTAATTAATTT